TATTTGTGTGTAGGGCCCACCTCCTGTTTCCTTTGTATAGTTGAGGTTGTGGCCCACCTCTGTACTTATATATATGTGCCTGGTGCACCGATCAATACATCGAGATTGCACAGCCCATAACTTGCCCTTCTACACGAACCACCCATAGTAAAGTGGTGCACAGCTGCATCAGGAAACATACCAGCCCATGCCATGTTCCCCACAGCTCTATCCAGTCTCTCTCTGATTCTCCCCCTCTTCCAAGTGAATTTGTTGCCAATATAACCAAGGTCTTCTAGCGAACAATCAGTCAAACAATCCCTAAACGCGGACATATATGATAAGGGTCTCGCATTACCTCCCTCTTTCTCTGATAAATACAAAATCTCATTTAAATCCCCTATCACAACCCAAGGCAGATTACCCTTGGCATGTAGATCACGGAAACGTTTCCATGTACGATGCATATGTCTCCAAACCGGCTCACCATACATACCCGTTAACCTCCAGTCTGTACTAGGATCCGCTCCTTTGACCACAACATCAATAAAGTTGTCGTGATAATAATTCAGCTGCATATTAACATTGTTCTTGCACATCATGATCAAACCTCCACTCCTTCCATCGCTCGGTGAAACAAACTTACTATCAAAACCAAGCTTCACATGCAATCTTTCCCCGCTCGAATCATTCAAGTGAGTCTCCGAGAGGAAAAGAACATCAGGACTATGCTGCCGTAGTAATTCCGACAGCGACCGAATTGCCGAGGGCGTCCCCAAACCTCGGGAATTCCAACTTAAGATTTTCATTGGTCCCGGCGGTCGTCCTCTCGGGCCGCCACCGATCCAGACAGATCATCTTCCATCTCAACTGTACCATCATCTCTTCTGTGACGTTTTTTCTCTTGGATCTTCAGAGGTGAGCTAGCATCAGTACTAGTAGTAGCCCTGGACTCAAAAGAACCCACTAAATCTGAAACCTTCTCTCCTCCCATAAGGAGCAACTGCCCACCAGGGGCCTTCTCATTTGAAACTGCCAATCTCTTCATAGCCATTCTCTCTGATGTTTCTCCTAAATTCTCACTGTTTTTTTCCTTTGGCACATATACAGCGCCATTCCCCACTTTAGTATTGGGGACTTCTCTATCAGCATCCCCAGCTTGATGTTCTCCTCTGTTACCTCGGCCCACTCCAGTACCATTATGTGCGCTCCTTCCACGCATAGAACTTGCACCAGGGGTGGCCACAAATTCACGGCGTGGTTGGAACCAGAACTCCTCTTGTGGCACCATCATAAAATCCCCATAGTGGAACTTCAAAGGATCGTGCAAACCATCTCCACACTGCTCTGCGATATGTCCAATTGTCCCGCATTGAGCACAGAAACGGGGCATTTTTTCATACAACACTCGAAATTTCTGGGCAGGTTTCCTTGCCTCCACATTCCCTGAGACAAACCGCAGCAAAGGCTTCTCAATCTTGATTTTTATTCTCACTCTGACGAATTTCCCATACTCAACACCATTAAATCCTAGTTCAACCTCCAAGACCTCTCCCATCTTTGATGCTAGCATCTTCGCTACAGGCTTATTCCGAAGTAAATCTGGGAGACCCATAATTCTGATCCAAACACGAAGAGAGTCCAGTTGGAGACTCTCAATATTTGTTAGGCCATCGTATTCCTCTATTATCACTGCTTGGTTTCGAAACAGCCAAGGACCTCCATGCATCGCTGTATTCCAATCTCCAAAGCACTGAAACTCAGCCGTGAACGTGTAATCATCAAGCGGCTTGAACTTCACTTCCTTTGCACACACCCAGGCTACCTGCATAGCTGTGTAGAAAGCAGTATGGCTAAACGGGGTCTTGACGCAAACCCTAAGAATCAGCGCCCATCTCGTCTCCCGAGCTGGGGCACCGATCAAACCCGACAAATCCACAGCGTCGTCTTCCTCCTCCGTAATCTCCAGTCTGTTCAAGAGATCATCCAAATTCCTGACTGGATCGGGTGCCCTTGCTTCCCCTGACGCCTCTGTTGCTGCCGATCCATTGATATTCGTTGCCCCCGCCGCCTGCGAGGTCATGCCTACCCCAAGCTCCAGTGGCCAGATGCCACCCGTTAGGAGACCTTGCCGGCGAAGGAGATGGCTAGAGGCCCTCTTCCTAGGTCGGCCACGGTGATTCCAGAGGAGTCGCCGCCGGATGAGAAAACCCTAGAGGTCTAGGGGGGAAAACTGTTCATTTTGCCTTGCCCTTGCTAATTCCGATGGATAGCACAACCAGCGATGGCCTTTTCTGCCTATTGGATCTGTTGCCTCGTCTTCACGTGATACACAAGGACTCGGTCCTCTTTTTTTCTAAAACAAATCTTTCGTGCACACACGCAGGACGCAGCGGCTGCCACCTTGCCTGCAGCTCCGAACCTGGACCACATCCCAGCCCTGCGGCCACGCTGCCTGAAGCAGAAGCACCTAAGCCGGCCTGTTGCCAGCCCATCCTAGCGCGCCCTAGAAGCCTGCTGGTCGCATGTTACGCCGTCACCGCTTCCATCGCTACCCCGAGCAAAACATCTTCGCCGCAAGTCGAAAGTTTCCGTTGCCACGCGTCACAAACTCGACTGCTTCCACCAATTTTTTTCGCTCCTCCTCTAGATCAACAATCCAGCAACCTCCAATCAACCTAGCTCATGATATCATTTGTTAGAATAAATCTGAGACATAGCGTCGATCATCCGAGGACCAAACAATCACACAAACACGACACCGAGATTTGTTAACGAGGTTCACCGATATGGCTACATTCCCGGGGCCTGACTACGGGCGCTCCTCTCCGTGACACCGTCACAATACCGCACACCGGCCACCCGGGCGCCGGCACACGCCGCCGGCTTCCCCTTACGCGCTTGTGCTATTATGCTGGCATAGGTTACATCGTGTGTCTACCCCCGCTATATATGAGAGGCGTAGGATACAAGTGTCCTACTAGGATACGACTCCACATCCTATGTAAACATGATACAACTACAAGTCCAACTATAACCTACCTTGTACACTATATTCGACACAACTCTAACACCCAGAAACGTTATTTACGCTGCCACACTGATCTCCAATTTGGTGATCTCCTGGATATTGTCCCATGATTTCTTCTCTGTTTCACCCTTCCTCTGCTTCTTTCTCCAGCTTTTGCTTCCGCCTCCACACTTATAGCAAGCCACATTGAAGATTCCAGACCGCAAAGAAATGTTTAATATGTCCAAATATTGTGACTCCCTCTTCTAGCTATACCAGCTAGTACCGGGATTTCTGAGCACTTATTTACCCTTTCTCAAAAGGGAGGCACCAACATCTCTCAAGATGAGAGAGAGAGAGGGGGGGAGGGAGGGAGGGAGAGAGAGAGAGAGAGAGAGAGGAGAGAGAGAGAGACTTACAACAGACTAAGTCACCAACAACCAACCAACATCCAGACAGAAACATGTATAGAGTTGACACATCCACACACATGATAACAAGTTTCTTTCATTGGGCTGCTAGACTGGACTTCCGACACTAGAATCTGCTAATATCAGAACACACCCTCGAGAGCCAAACACCCAATGAAAACTGACCACATCTTCGGTGATACGTACACCCCATCATGCGAGAGATCGCATGGAGCTATGCCATTTTCCCCTCACTTACTCCTACTTAGGACCACATGCCGCAAGATGCTGCTCCAGCTGCAACAAAAGAAGAAGAAGACGTCAATGATTAAGACATGTTTGTGACGCACAATGATGCTCAATTCACATGCTTTCAAAAATTAGTCATGATGCAAGGTGGTTGGTATCATATTCTGGTCATTGGCGATACTTAACTTACGGTGGGAAACAAAGAAACTCCACTGCATAGAGCTATCCCGTACATCTACCGACATGTGATGATGAAATTAAGAACAAAATTCAATGGCCAAATTGGACTTTCAGAGACCTGGAACGAAAGTGCTCTAGGAACAAAACAGCACCTCTCTACATAAATTTCAATCGACAACAAAGAATACAATTAATGTAAAATAATTTATCCTCAACCAATCAATGTATTATGATACTAGTGAGAACTTGGTAGTAAAAATACAGCATAGGGACATAAGGGACTACCTCCATTATGATCTTGAACATGCTGCGCAAATCGTAGAACTGAAACCTGACACGACCTAGTGCCGCGAGGTACCTGGAATAATGCAAATGTACCAGTGTCAAAATCTGGAGAGATTAAGTGAACTGAGCTGAAATGGTTAAGAAATTGTAAACCTCTGTTTGAAAAGAAAAACTCTAGCCATCTCAGACTAAAGTCATGCTGTAAACATAAGTCTAGAGCTCACAAGTTACAAGGGAATTATAAAAGAGGCATATTCATGTAATGAACCAAGTCCTAACCATCAAGTGGTTGTTGATGAAATTACCAAGCATCTTAGTTCTTGACGATATCAGATTGTATGAGCTAATTATAGTTCCATAATAGAGAATATCAACTGACAGGTTTACATATAAAATAATGTATACAATAAAGAGTGTGAAGAACAATTATTTTGCAATGATATAATAAGGTACTGACTACTGACCCTTCTTTGTTTTTTGCCTCATGACTGAAGTGTTGCACGCAGCAGAGGTTCAATCTCTTAGCACCAACACTGATATATGTCAAAAAGAGCAAGATCAGGAAATTAGAAATTTATCATATTTATTAAACGCCACTGCAGCATGTTGATACACATAAGCATACTTGTGATACCGTAAACATATTCTCAAGGAGTCGTTTCCTATCACGGTTGTCAACACAATAAATGGTTTGATAAACCAGAAAAATAAGGTTTTACATGCGATAGAGCATAAAGTACCGAGTACTAGAGATATGTACATAACAACAAAGTTCGACTTGCTGAGACATAACTTTGTTATGATGGTCGATGGCTCCCTTACGCGAAACACAAGTAAATTCGGCTATTCTAGTTATGGCCATACGGCAGCACAAACGACACGAGCCACATGGTCATGACGTACACACCCTGCGCCAACCTATCAAAATCTCAAAATATATAGAAACGACATTGATGCAGTGGAGAACCTGAAAAGGACATTGGCGCATATAATTATTATAAGAAATGCTTGTCATTCACAACCAAGAGCATCACGTTGGTAGGAAAGCGGACAATTTTGTTACTGAAAACACAACCAGACTTAGCTCTTCTTCTACTTATGTGCATACGACAACCGCAAACGATGCGGCATGTCTGAATAGAAACAAGGACACACCAGAAAAACTACCATTAGCGGAATAGAATATCATTAATAGTAGGAACCCTCGCGAGACAACAAAGGATTCCTCGCAGAGCCGTAACATCGCGGTTGGCATCAATACCTGTACTTTGGTTACACGAAACAAAACTAAAGTCGGCACTTCAACTTATGGCTGCATGACAGGGCAAACAGCATGAACGGCATATATACCCCTGACAAGGGAAGCACATCTGAATCGCACATGATGCAGCGAAGAAATAAACACAGTTAAGACTGGGGGGTGGGGGATAGAGAGGAAAGGGCTTCCACCTGCTGCAGGCCAGCTTGAGCTGCTGCACGAGGCCGTCCACCTTGTCGAAGTCCACCTCGGGCTCGTTCCTGCATGCGAATCTCAGAGCATAGAACAGACAAGATAAGTCTATATCCGAACGAAACGAGAATAACGAGAGCAGAGGGGAGAGAGGGGGCGGGGATACGGACATCAGGCCGATGAGGTCGTTGATGATCCTCTCGGCGTTGTTGAGGAAGCGGTTCATGACCTCAACGACGTAGGCCGGAGTTACGCGGCCCTGCTCGCGCATCCTCTGCAGCTGCAAGAAAGCGTCGTCCACCAGACCCTAGATCCATCACCCATGTACGCCAAGGCAAACGTCATATCAGCCAGCCAGCCGGGCAAAACCGGTCCAAGACGGCGATGCTCAGCAATTCCAGCCGACGAGTAGGGGTGTAGATGGGACGTTGATGGGAGGGGAGAGGGGGCCTCACCGTGTTGAACATGGTGGCGATGAGTACGTTGATCTGGGCCCTTATCGCGGCGGCCGCCATGGCTTGCAGGTCCTGAAGGCACGGCGCGCTGGGGAAATGGGAGCTCCGGCGGCGGCAGAGTGGACTAGGAGTTGAGGGTGGATGGAACTGGATCCCGTATGTATATAGCTCCATCACGAGGTCTCTCGTGGAGGTGTTTTGGCAGCGACCGCTGGCTTTAGTGTACTGCCCCGTCGTGACGCCATTGATAGAATGGAAACGGCGTGCGTGCATGCATGCAGATGGAGACGACGACAACGGCAGCTTGCTAGCGCCGTCCCGTAAAGAATAAATTTGTGTGTGGAGTACTCTTCTGTGTGGCCTGGAGTGCCTGTTTTTTTGCGGGAAACCGGTAGGAGCACTTCCTTTCCGTATTAGACGGAAAGGAGTGCCCCATGCATAGTCCATCCACCAGCTCGTCAACGCACCCATGAAATTAGAACCAACGTATGTAAAAATGGTCATATAATCAAGGTCCACATATTTAAAAATATTTTTCTGTAACTTCATAGAAATAATGGTCACATTCTCTAAGAAAGTGTTCAACCATTTATAAAAATGTTCATGCAATTTAAAAACTGATCGGTCAATTTAAAATATCTTCATAGAATAAAAACAGAAGTTCACATTGAAAAACATGTTCATGTACTTTTTTGAGTATACTTGTATTTCTAAAAAATGCTGATGCATTTTAAAAAAGTGTTTCAGCACTTTAATTTTTTTCATGCAATTAAAACATTTCACATGTTAAAAAATCTGCATATAACTATAAAATTTATTTTTATATTTATTTAAAAATTCAGTAATTTATAAAATAAAAAACTCCACATATATTTTTAGAAAAATCCAGCAGTTTCTTAAAATATCAAGGAAGAACATTTTTTTTCTTAAAACATATGATTTTCATCGTGTCTAGGAACCCACCAGCAGCACCAAACACTGCGAGAAGAGACACTTTTCACGGCGAGGCCTGAGGTGATCGCCGTCAACAAGCGAGCTTCACATTAGTCGCTGGCTAGCCACAAGGAGGCCTTTGCGCGAAGAAAACTTTTACTCGGCCGCCTCCAGGTCGAGTAAATTAAGAATTCAGATAGGCAGAGGAGTAAAATCGGTTTAGGAGATTGGCTAGGTGCCGGTTGTAGGTGTAAACCCCGAATGTTACTCCTCTATATAATTTCAGGGAATTTGCTAGAGTTGCTCATGCCTGGAGCTACCGGTTGTGTCTCCACGTGTCCATAGAAGCGAGCGCCGGTTTCTGGTCGACTCGTAGCGCGCAACAAGATTGCCGTATGGGCTCTGCTATGCCCTTGGTTGGGTGTTATACCTTGCTCATAGCCCATCAACTACAAGCAACATGGAGACACGGTCCGGCCCATGGTAATGCCACTCCTGAAATGGGCTGGGCCATCAATTATGGAACGAACAACTTAGTCCCTGAGTTTCACTCAACGCTCATTAAATTGGTCGGACCGTCCATTCTAAGGAGCACCGGCTATGTGATCATCGGATGCCACCCCGCCGATCATCCCCTCTATTTTGCCCCTCCTCTGGCATGTCCATGGTGCCGTCGTGCTCGTAGCAGGCCACACTAAAGATTTCAACCGAAATGAGATGTTTACCATATCCACATATGATGGTTTTCTGCACTATCTGTACACCAGCCAACAACAAGGCTTGCTTAGAGAGAGACATCACAACATACAAAAAAAGAAAGTCATGAATTATCAACCAACAAGGTATAGGGTTTACACATGGCCTGCGGGCAGGTAGCACCCCATCCACGACACACAAGTTTATGGACTTGACAAACGTACATCGACACATCACAACAAGTTTCGCACACCCTCTAGTTCTAGACACCGTTTGAACACTGCCACATCTTCAGAGATACATACACCCCATAATGCAAGGGATCACATAGGGCCATGCTCTTTCCCCTTCACTTGCCGCTACTTAGGAGGCCGCGATCTGCTCCTCTAGCTGGACCCAAAGATGAATAATTGGTCAATGATGAAAACAATTACCTTCCCAAAAATTATTACGGCAATTTTATTGCACAAAATGGTGCTAAAGTCACATGTTTTCACTAATCAGCCATGTTACAAATCGGTCGGTTTCTTATTTGGGTATTTGGCGAAGCTTAATTTAAGCAAGGAAACAAACCAGTTCCAATAATTTTTTAGAGTACCCCATCCATCCATCCAATGAGATCACAAAATTATGACATAAATATCTAACGGGTAAATGAGACTTTTCGATACCTCAAACTAAGCGCTCCAAAACTAAACGTCAAGAGAATGATTAATTTAAGGTTGTTCTTTTCCCCCAATCTTAAACAATATATGTACAATCTGTGGATTATCCAACTAGTGAGAAGTTAGTATCAATATCCAACATTAGACACATAAGGTGCTACTTGCATCATGATCTACAACTCATTGCGCACAATACTGAACTCAGTCCTAACAACAGTCAATGACAAGAGGCACTTGAAACAATGAAAACATACCACATTGTCAAATTCTGAAGAGGTTAACATAACTGAGTTGAAATCATTCGAAAATTATAACCTCTATTTTGAAAATGAAAAAGCTCTAGCCATATCAGATTTTAGTTGCACTATAAACCTAAGTCTAGAGCCGACAAATTACAAGAGAATCATCAAAGATTAGCATATTCAGATAATCAACCAAGTAATATCAACAACACAAAGCAGGTTAATTCTTAATAATGTTAGATTGGTATGAGCTGAAAATAAGGACGCAGAAGACAACATGAGCTGGCAGGTTTACATAGAGACAGAAAAACAGTGTTGCGAATAATTTTTGTGTAACATATCTAATAAGGTATTGAGTTCTGACCATTGTTCGTATTTTATGGCATTGAAATGGCGGAAGTGCCTGCAGGCGAGGTTCACTTGTTTTGCGCCAACACTGAAACATGCAAAAAAAATGTGGATCAGGAAATTAGAAAATTATCAAACTTATCATAATCTGACATGTCAACTCAATAATATTCTCAAGGAGCCATTCCCTATCACGATTGTCAACTCAATAAAATGTTTGATGATCCCAGAAAAAAACACCATTTCTGTTACGTGCAAGAGCAGATCTGTATGCAGTACCATAAATATTTATAAAATGACAATGTTTTCCTTGTTGGACCATAACATTGTCATGAATACCGACAATTCTAATTTTGGGTCTTATAGTTTTGGCTATACGACAGCCGAATGACTCCCATGACATACACACCACGCGTGCGACATGAATAGAAACAACATCATTCCAGTGGAGACACCAAAAAATGGTCATTGGCATTACGTAGAATAGCAGATCATTAATAACAACCATTCTCGTGAAACAGAATTTTTTTTAGTATTCAACCTATGGAATAATTACATTGCCTGAAGAGCAGATTCAATGTTACAGGAAGCGTTCACAAAACGACAAAAGTTGCCCTCATCAAGCTATACCATTGCCATTAGTAGGAATAGCAACAATTCCATTACATGAGATAAGGGACGGGCACCGCAAACGACACAAACCTCTTGTGGTCATGCCCCATGAGGTACACAACCTATGCCAACACACCCGGTTAAAACAACATTGATGTGGTGGACAAACCAGAAAAACCAGAGTTAGTGATACGCATATCATTAATACCAGAAATGTTCGCAAAAACGACAACTTTATACTCATCAGGCCATTGACATTAGTAATTGGGATACCGGTAACTCCGTCACACGAAACACGACTAAACTTGATACTTCAAACTATTAGTTTTGAATAGAACCCTTTGCCCAGCACAAACAGATCTGAATCGCATGACATGGACGTCGTGGCCAAACAAACATACAGTTAAAAATTACAAGGTGGAAAAAAAGAGTTTATCAATCATCGTCAATTCATGACCTGGTGGTGCACTCCATGAGCTGCTCTAGCAGGGCTTCCACCTCGTTGAAGTGCACTGCGGGCTGCTGGCTGCGATTTTCAGAAAAAGACAAGATGAGTCAGTACTACCTGAGACTGAGAGCAGAGGGAGGGCGTGGGGGCAGTACAGACATCAGGTCGCGGATGTCATCGAGGATCGGGTAGGTGTCGTTAATGATGAGGCGGGCGACCTCTGCGGCGGTGCCGTTCTCCCGCAGCTCCTGGAACGTGTCCTCGTCCACCACGCCCTGGAGGCAGCAAAGGCCAAAGCCCAAGTCAAATCAGGTTAGCCGGGCAGCCAAGCCAAAACCCACAACCGAGAGAGGGGTGGGGAGTGTTGAGGATATTATTTGTGCATGTATATTGTCTTTGTACATTAGGCACACCTCTCTAATTTGTTGTATAGATTGAGATAGAGGCCCGACATTGTACTCATATATACCGTGCACATTGCACCGAATCAATACATCGTGCAATTCTCACATCCAATATGGTATCAGTTTTCTAGGTTCCCTAACCCTAGCTTCCGCTACCGCCGCCGTCGCCGCCACCCTGCCGACGCATCCTCCTCCTCTCCTAACCCGCTCGCCGCTAGGACGCCCGCTTCCACCCCCGCTCGCCACAGCCGATCGCCAAGTTGATTGGCCCAGCTGATCGCCCCGGCCGCTAGCGATCCCGCCCCGCGATCCACTCAGCCCCGCGAGCCACTCGCCCGCTAGCCGCTAGTGACTACTGCCAGTCGGCCGTCTCGTCTCCTGCCTTGTCTCATCTGCTGCCTGTCCCGTCAACCGCTGCGTACAATCTGTCCAGCCGCCGCCTGTCCCGTCTGCTGTTGCCGCCGCACCACCCGACGCCGCCATGTCGTCCGTAACCTCCTCTGCGTCCACCAGCTCCAACCCGTTCGCCGACGCCAACCCTCCTGACGTCAACGACATCCGCAAGCTCAACATCTTCGAGCGCGTGCCGGTTCGTCTCTCCCAGACGGACTCCTCCTACCACACGTGGAAGACGTATTTCTCCCTCATGTTCCGGGAGTATCATCTAATGGATCACGTGGACAGCACCGTTGACTAGCCTCATCCCCGAGTT